GTGACTCATGCCTGTAATCCCAGCGTGTTGGGAGGCCGAGGCAGGCAGATCACCTGAGGTCAGGAGTTCAAGACCAGCCTGACCAATATGGAGAAACCCCATCTCTACTAAAAATACAAAATTAGCCAGGTGTGGTGGCGCATGCCTGTAATCCCAGCTACTCGGGAGGCTGAGGCAGGAGTATCACTTGAACCCAGGAGGCGGAGGTTGTGGTGAGCCAAGATCACACCATTGCACTCCAGCTTGGGCAACAAGAGTGAAACTCCGTTTCAAAAAAAAAAAAAAAGAAAGAAAGAAAAAAGAAAAAAATTATTCAAGCACACTAGGTTTCTCTGTTTTTTAAAGTATATATTTGTCAGTGAGGAATAGAAATGATCATGTCAAGTTACTAAAGTTGGCTTGGACTAACCTATATTATCATTTAACTCATCCTTTTTTTTTTTTTTTTTTTTTTTTTTTTTTTAGCTGTGGACAATTTAAAGCAAGAATTTTCAATCTATGGATTTTGACCCATTTATTGGGTCCTGACCAGAATTTTAAAAATTGAAATAGATATAACGGCAAAGGTACATTTCACACAGCGAAGATAGCAACTTTGAGTCTTAAGATCAAATGTATTTATTAATGTGAGTCATGGTTAAAAGTTCAAAAAATGATGATTTAGAGTAAAACAAGTATAAAAATCATTGCTAGTTTTTTTCAACATTTTGTGCATGTTTCTCTTCTTGGGTTTCTTTCTTGATAATCCTTAGCCCTTTTATCACTAATTATCACATCCTGGAATTTGTTTTCCACACTTAAAGCTTTACAGATGTAAGGAAGAAATGTGTAGACTAACAGATAATGAAGAAACATGTGGCCAAATCTCCCTAGAAATCTATTTATTTTTAGTAAATTGCTAGGAGTCAAGACATCTAAATATCTTTTCTATAATTGTCATGAGACCTTGTACAAATCCTGTTCTGATTATTTCCCTTGTGTATTTGATGAGAATAATTATTCCTGCTACTAAATCACTTTGCGGAAACCTTGGAAAATTAGTACTAGTAGACTAATAATAGTGTAAGCTGCTCTGAGCAAAATGTTAGATAAATACATGGATAAAAAGAGGTCTGCTAAAATAACAATTTGAGGCTCCTAATAATTCTCTTCTTTGCAAGTTTTCTTTATTTTTATTTTTACTTTATTTTATTATTATTTTTTTAACCCAGGTTGGAGTGCAGCTGAATCACAGCTCACTGCAGCCTCGACCTCCCAGGCTCAAGGAGTCCTCCTATTTCAGCCTCCCGAGTAGCTGAGACTACAGGTGCATGCCACCACCCCCAGCTAATTTTCATATTTTTTGTAGAGATGGGGTTTTGCCATGCTGCCCAGGCTTGTCTCAAACTCCTGGGCTCAACTGATCCTCCCACCCAGCCTCTCAAAGAGCTGGGATTGGAGGTGTGAGCCACCACACCTGGATGTTTTCTTTCTAATTATTTCTTATATCCTTTGAAATACTTATCTTAGGTAAGTTTTTTTTTTTTTTCATGTGTTTACCCTCCTCATTACAATATAAGAGGATCTTTGAGAATAGAGTATGGCTTGTAAAATTATATATTATTTTTTGGGCCCAAAAAAGATCCGTATGAGCAGAGGTGACTCAAGAGATGCTTATAATACATAATTAAATAAATCACGATGAATGGCAAGGGATAGACAAAGGATTAAAATTAATGATGAGCTAGAAACAGACTCTACGGACCTTAAAATAAACTCTATGAAGTCCAACGCACAAGGAGATGAGGTTAAAGCATGCTAACTTGTAAACAGTTAGAAAAAATGGATTCACAGAGTTTCATGACACAAGGTCTTACTAATTTCTTTAGCTGGATGCTTCCCTATCACTGGGCACTAAAGACTCTTGCATCATAGTTTTTTGCTACTATTAAGCCAGAAAACAGAGATAATGTGCCAGCCTACCTACACAAGACGAATCATGTTTCTCTCCAAGAACCTCATCGAGGGCACCTAGTTAAAAGTGGTAACTGAATTTGGTTCCATCTACATAATGGCATAATCAAGACAGAGAAATGATAAAAATGTTATGGCAGCTGATGCCTTCCCTAGAGACTGACAGAGTCCAGTAGCAAGGTCCAGATCCACACTGGAGTCTGTACTTGAACAAGATACAGACATCAGATTTAGTAACTAGAAATATTCCATCGGCCCTCATTCCCACTCCACCCTTCCCCATAACAGACTCAATTATTAAGTGGCAAGAAAAATTCCCCTTAGGGAAGGCTTGGTGCCTTCCTTCAAGAATGTGCCTGCCATTCTACAAGAAGTAAAGATCATGGAAAATCAGTTTCCATGGGGAAGATCATCTGAGAAGGATGGGGAGTAACAACTTTGGGGGCAATGAAGTTAGCAGGTTGGCATAGCTCTTCAAGGAAAGTCAAGAACATGGCCAGAAAATGCTCAACATTATAGTAAAAAGTTGAGGAAAAGGTACCCAACAGAAAACTTTGATGCTCATTTTGAAGAAGGTAAAGCTGCCAGAAGACTGAGACACTGCTGAAAAAATGGGCACAATAAGAATTACAGTGATAGAGGTGGGATCTAAAAATGTACCATTTTTGCATATAAGAGTGGCCTCGTTCCAGTTCATTACATAATTTGAGTGAAGTGGAAAGAACATGGGCTTTGGAATCATGTAGACCATGGGTTCTCAGTCTAGCTCTTCTAATTGAGAGATGTATGATAATGAGTTTCATCAACCTCTCTTAGCTTTGTGTTCTAAAATGAAAAATAACACCTGCATATTAAGTGCTTAGCTTAGCATAATTTCTTGCTCATAGTGGGGGATCTAAATGAGATCTATTATTGCTTTTAGTAGATTTATTTCTCTAGTTCTGTTCTTGCCCATGATTTCCCTTATGACCATTAATACATTATTTCGAGGCTTCTGACCAGAGTGTGAGGGCATCATCAGTGCTGTGAACCTTGGACTCACTCATTAACTTCAGTGAACAGTGCCAACCCAATCTCACAGTGGTTGGTACCCTGGAGAACTATCTTAGTTGGCACAGGATTATCTACATTTCATAACATTTAGTTGGAGGTATTTGAAGTAGGTGGGCTAAAGTAACTTTGTTTTGTGGTGATCTGTGGCCAAATTTTGATGATCAATAATTTGCATATTATTGTAAGAATTCACAATAATGAAGATGATAAGTAACATTTGCTTCTATTTTATGGGCTCTACCATATTATGCTTTTGCTGAAGCTTGGAGAAAGCTCATATGTACATAAAAGTGTGTCTAAAAGAAACAAGATTTTTGAAAAATGTCTGACTGTATACATCAAATGAGCAATACCCCCTACAAAGGAGTTCCCTTAGGAAGCTGTACAAACATTGTAACAATCCTGCATTAGATCAAAACACTTTGGGAACTTCTCTATTGGAATTGCCTTATGACCTAGTTTATGAGCCATATAGAAAACTCAGACTCATTAATTTATAGTCACACATAATTAATTTTTCACCTCTGGTGGAGTTACCCAGCTTGATCACCCATTTTGGCTCTGAATGATTTTGCTGCTTCCAAAATAAAATCCAATCTCAAAGTGTGAATATTTGCCACTATCTAGAGTATTTAGGAGAACATATCACATGTTATGAAGGCAATTCCAAAAAGAACTCTAGAATTTCAGATTCTGGAATAACATATCTCATGGCAGTGAGTTTGCTGAGGACAACTCTCCTCTGGACAGCAAGTTATATTTAATAGTATATTTGTTTTTAAGACTATTCATCCAACAAACAATTATTGAGGGCTAGCTATTGTCGATTTGTTCTTTCATTCATTTGCTCAACAATTATTGAGTCCCTATTACTCGATAGAAACTGGGCTAGGAATCCAGCAGCGAATAGGAAAGACATGGCCACTATTCTCGTAGAGACTTCATCCAATTAAGAAGACAAATACTAAACAAGCAATTGCAGCAAAGAGAGGCATAATGAGAACGTATTTCAGAGAGACCTAACCTAGTCTAGGGATTAGGGTAAACTTTCCTGAGGAAATTATTTTGAAGCTGAGATTTGAAAGATGACTAGGAATGTTCCAGGTAGAGGGAACAACATGTGTAAACACTTGAGGGCAAGGGAGCATGATGTTGCAGGAACTGAAAGACATTCAGTATGACCAGAGCATTTACAGGAATAGCAGAAGACTGGCAGAGGCCAGACCATTCGAGGTCTAATAAGCCACATGAAGAGTTCAGACTATTTCAGTTGCTCATACACTAAAGAAGGGATATGCAATTCTGGTTGCAAATTGAATCAGAGAGAAAAGAGACTGGAGGTAGAGAGATGGTTTAGAAGGTTATTAGGAAAATCTGGGAGAGGATGATGGCAGTAGAGATACAGAGAAGTGCATGAATCTGAGAAATGCTTAGGAGGTAGTAGTAATAGGACTTGAAGATTTATTGGATGTCAGAGATTTTAAAGGATAGGGAAGAGTTAAGGATGAGTATTGAGTAGCTGGTTTGGGAATGAAGGGTGTGATGGTGGCTTTCACTGAGCTGGGGACATTGCAGAAGGAGCTCTAGTTATCCAGTGGAGGAGAGATGATGAGTATACTTTTGGCTATGCTGTGATTGAGGTGCTGGGAGAGTATCCAAGGAAAGATGGTATGTAGGTGGCTGGATATCCAAGTCTGTGTCTTGGGACAAAGATGAGACTGAAACCATTTGAGGATCATCAGCAAGAGGAATGAATCTGATCACCTATGTTGGGTGTGCAGAGTGAAAAGAACACAAGGCCTCGGAAAGACCCCTGAGATGCACTAATATTTAAGAACTGGGTAGGAGAAAAGATGACCACAAGGGAAACTGAAGAATAAGCTAGGGAAGAAGGTAGATCCAGAGAGTACGGTGCTTGGAGACCAAAAAAAGAGAGCTTTTCTTTTCTTGTCTTGTCTTGTCTTTTCTTTTCCAGTAAGAAGTCGTAACTTTATGATAGAAACAGCACAAATTTCAAACCAAGCTGCAGTTACTCCTTTGAGACACCAAAAAAAGTTGCTTTCATAATTGCATTTACAATATCATTACTGTTGTTCTTCAGAGCTTGGACTGCCTTTGCTTTCGACACATTTGCTTGTGACATGACCAATTCTATGTCCTTAACTTCTACACCTGTTTCATCGACCTCTTCCTCTTCACTCTCCTCTTGTACAGTTGGAGTCTGTGTGTTTTCTTGAATGTTTGAGACAGCTTCACCTTGAACTTTGAATTTCTCAGCAGCTGCTAGTTGTGCTTGCTGAGATAAATCTTGGATCTTGGTTTCCCCAAAAACTAAGTAGGTATCAGAAGCAGGGCTCTTGTAGACATCTGGTTTTGTGACGACAAAGAGGATATTCTTAGATTTCCGGATACTGATTCTAGTCACTCCTGTAACCTGTAGAAGACCCAGTTTGGACATAGCCTTCCGTGCCTTCTTTTCACTGCGACTCTGTTTTGCTTTACTGACTGGTTTTTCATCAATTTCAGCCGCTCCCGCCAGCTGGGCTTTTTGTGTGATGGTCTGGGTGGAATCCTGTTCTTCAAGCCCTGGTACTGATTCACCACTGTCAGATGCTGTCCCAGACCCTGTCTCAGCTTGGGGCTGCGGCAACTCCTGCTCTGTAGCAGGGACGGTTCCTGTGACTTCGCCCGGCATTTTGTGCAGGGAACGCGGAAGTAAGATGGCGGCAGAAAGAGAGAGAGCAAGAGCGTGAGCCGCGCCTGTGGCAGAGGGAAGCGAAAAGAGAGCATTTAAAAAGACATTTGTCGACGGTGTTACATATTGCCAAGAGGTCAAATCAAGTTGGAATGGAAAAGGATCTACTGGATTTAGAAACTGTAAGTTACATGGTCTGAGTGGTGTGGTGTGAGTGGCACTTGGGAATTGTTTAATGGTCAGTTCATTGAAAAAGTGACTACATTGGGGAATCATTTTTTAAAATTTACCTTATTTAACATGCTATTTTAACTGAAAACATATCACTGTACCTTTATTTGCCAATCTTTTGATAGGAGCCCTAAACCTTTCTTTGAGTATGATCTGTTTATTGGAATTCAGCCTCGGTTTTCTCACATAAATCATATCCATAAAGGTAGTGTCTCTCATTCCCTGTTTTAGTTTATTTAAAATAGACCAAGAACTCAAAGGTGCTCATGAAGCAGTCTGAATGCAGAATCCTAGATATTTATAGTTTATTTAAAATAGACCAAGAGCTCAAAGGTGCTCATGAAGCAGTCTGAATGCAGAATCCTAGATGTTTATGTTCCCTCCATCTTTTCTTGCTCACCCCAATTCAGTGGAAAATTGTAAATCTTTCCAAACCATTCAATTTAATTTGTACAGAAACAACTATTTTATTTTTTCTATTTACATTTCACATAACAGTTATATAATGAGTATGTGTAATAATCAGTTAAATTACATAATTATAGTAATAAGAATGCCCGGCATAAATAGGTTAAATAAACACAACTGATTCTTGGTAAGCCTATAACTACATAGAGAAAACAAAAATCCATAGAAAAGAAAACCAAAAAACAAAAATCCATGTATGTACTAGGCAGTAGCACGTTAGCTATAGTGCTACTGCCTATATGTTTTATAAAGGCAACAGACAGTATCAGTCAATTTGTATTATGTTAGCTAAATATACGTTAAGAGAGTTTTTGCTTCAGTTACAGGGGATGGTTCAGAAGGCAGTTAGATTGCAGTGAGCTGAGAAGTAGGAATTGAAGAAATGGAAAGATTGGATTAAATCAGAGTACTCTTACAAGAAGTTTAACTGTGCGGGAGGAGACAGTGCAGTAGCTGAAGACATAATTATAGTTGGCAGATAGGTAAACATATATTCTTCCTAAGAAGAGACCTGAGCATGTTTAAATTCTAGAAGGAGTAGTTAAATACAAATGAAAGAGGGAAGTTGATCAGTGAAGGTTCCAAGGACGCAAGAATGAAATCCATGGCACATATAGAACGATTAATCTTGAATAGCAAGAAAGACATCCTTTTCATTGTAATAGGAGGAAAGAAGAAAAATATGGATTTGGGTGCAGGTAGGTTTTTAGGTTTGGTAGCACAAAGTCAAAGGAGTTCCTATCTGGTGACATTTATTTTTTTCTAAGAGGTTAGAGAAGCCGTCTGCTGACAGTGAGGGGAAGGCAAGAGAGTTAAAGGTTTATGTATGATGGAAAAGATTTGGAATAGGTGCTGCATAGAAGGAAGAAAATGCTCACTAAAGAAACACAATAGAGTTGTAATTCAGTGTTGAAGTCCTAGCTGAGATAGGCAAATACTGTGCTATATGCTGGGTTGAGCAGGTTAAATGGGAGGAACATGCAAAGATAGGTAAGACACAGTTTCTGTTCATCAAATGAGAAACAGAGACATATAAACAAACCATTTAAAAAGAATAGAAGATATAAATTGTGGCATATTGTGAAAATTAGTAAACTAGGCTGCACACAGCCACATTAATAAATCTTAGAAAACTTATTATTGGTCAGGTGTGGTGGCTCACGCCTGTAATCCCAGCACTTTGGGAGGCCAGGGCAGGAGGATCACAAGGTCAGGAATTCAAGACCAGCTTGACCAACATGGTGAAACCCCACCTCTACTAAAAAAAATACAAAAATCAGCTGGGTGTGGTGGCTTGCCTATAATCCCAGCTGCTCAAGAGGCTAAGGCAGGAGAATTGCTTGAACCCAGGAGGTAGAGGTTGCAGTGAGCTGAGATCACGCCACTGCACTGCAGCCTGGGTGACAGAGCAAGACTCTGTCTTTAAAAAAAATTAAAAAGAAAGAAGGAAAGAAAAAGTGAGAATGATTATCGTAAAAGTCAGATCATGATTACCTCTAGGAGAAAAGAGAGGAGTGTGATCAGAAAGGGACATAAAGGGGACTTTTGGGGTGCCAGTGATGTTCTAGTTTTTGACCTGGATAATGGTGTATTTAGTTGCAGCTCAATCAGGGAAGCAGAACCTCTTTGGGTCATAGGATAAGGGATTTATTATAGGAATTAGACCTTACACAACTGTGGGAGGAGCAGGGGAAGTAACACCTCAAGAGGAAGTTGGAGGACCAGTGGAGTCACCAATTGATCCAGCTGAGAAACCAAGGGCATCCAGCTGCCGAAATGAGACTGCACAGACTCCTTTGGCTAGCGAAGGAGTCTGTGGGCAGCTGTTGCTTCTGTGGGTCTGCAGCCAAACATCCGGTCATGAGCCTGGGACCGCTGTTGGGAAGAAAAGTTGCGTGTGGCACAGAGAAGAGCAAGGACACCTGGACCCTGTGAGACCTGTGCGTCTGTCTGTGTCCACACCCGCCACTGCAGCTTACAGAGAGAAGGGCTGCTGCTTCACCTCCGCCTCCCAGATCTCACACAAGCTGCTCTTTTGGCCATGCCTGGAAGGGGACTCAGGGAAACACAGTTCCCAGGTTAATCAGTTTGAAATAAAATGATCCAGCACAGGTGGTCTCAGGAGTTTCACTTTATAATTATCTGTGATAATGTGCATTTACAGTTCAGCATTTTTCTGAAGTTATTATAATTCATAAAAAGACTGTCAATCAATCAGTAAAAGAACAGGCATGGCATTTCAAGGGCCATATATGATATTCCCATCGTGTTATTAGAGTATGTTTTTAAAAAGTGCTATGAAGCTAAAGAGACAACTCTGCCTGGGGGCATCAGGAAAGTTTTCATAGAAAAGGAGACCTTTCAATATAGTAATAAAAATAGCTAGCATTTATTGACCACTTACTATGTATGGGACATTATAATATGCTCTTATATCATTTCGTATAATTTTTACAACAATCCTATGAACTAGACATTATACTTCCAGTTTTTCAGATAAAGAAACTGAGGTCCAGATAAATAAATTAACTTGCGCAATCTAGCAAGAAACAGATCAGAAATTTGAAATACCTCTAGTTTACTCCAACCACGAGGAGCCACTACTCTCTATGGCCTTCCATTTGAGTCTGTTTGTTTTTTCTTTTTGGAGACAGACTCTCACTCTGTCACCCAGGCTGGAGTGCAGTGGTGCCATTATGATCCACTGCAGCCTTGACTTCTCAAGCTCAAGCAATCCTCTCACCTCAGCCTCTCAAGTAGCTAGGACTACCAGCCCTTGCCACCATGCCCAATTAATGTTTTGTATTTTGGTTTTGTAGCGATGGGGTCCCATTGTGTTGCCCAGGCTGGTCTTGAGTGCCTGGGCTCAAGTGATCCTTCTGCTTTGGCCTCCTAAAGTGCTGGGGTTACAAGCATGAACCACGGTGCCTAGCCAGGCTTTTTAAAATGCCATCTTTTCTTACCCAGTCTTCCATCTGAGTCTTCACAGACAGTAAAAATATACCTGGCAGGCAGAAGGAATGGCATGAGCAAAGAGTTGGCAACACGAATGAGTGTGGTTTGCTTGCGGAAGATTAAGAAGGTTGATGAATGTCTGTGTAGGAGAAGGTGAAAAAGGTGAAAGATAAGCCATAAAATTTATTGAAGATTTTTTATGCCCTGATAAAGTGTTTCCAACTTATCCTCTAGTCAAAAAGAAGTCATTGGAAATTAATAAGTAAAGAAACAGCACTAATAGATTGTTTTCCTGGCAGTGATTATTTAATAGCCATCTCTACCTTTGTGTCTGGGAGTAGACTTTTTACCTGGACTCTTCGTTATTCTCTTTTTTTTTCCTTTCCTTTTTGAGACAGAGTCTCACTCTGTTACCCAGGCCGTAGTACAGTGGACTGATTTTGGCCCACGGCAGCCTCAATTGCCTAGGTTCAAGCAATCCTCCTTCCTCAGCCTCCTGAGAAGCTGAGACTAGAGGCACAAGCCACCATGCACAGCTAATTTTTTTTTTTTTTTTTTTTTTTTTTTTTTTTTAAGTAGCTAGGAGGTCTCACTATGCTGCCCAGACTGTTCTCAAACTCCCGAGCTCAAGTGATCCTCCTGACTTGGCTTCCCAGACTGCTGGGATTACAGGCATGAGCTACTATGCCCAGCCTGACTCTTCTTTATTCTTTACATAGAACTTTCCATCACATGATTTGTTTTGATCTCACAATTAGCCTGTGAAGAATGTAGAATAAGTATTATTATCTCCATTATATGAACTTCAAAACTGAGGCTCAGTAAGGTTAATTTGTCCAATGTCACTTGGCTAAGTAAGTGACAAACTTTGGAAACTTTGGAAGAAAGCCCACATTTCCCTGACTCCCTGTTTTCTCTTCTTCCTACCCCATGTTGCCTAACTTGACCTGGGCAAATGTGAAAGTAAAGAAAACAAAACGAATCAAAATCCCTGTGCGTTTTCCAGTGAGCTGTAGCCAGGCCGAGTGAATTTTCTGTCTCTTGAATTCCAGGAGCTGAGAACTGATTGGCATCATCATCTTTTGAGAAATTAAACTTTAGTCACGACATTTCTATTTGAACTAAAATTATATGACTCAGATATCTTTTGATTTAAACCTAATGACAGCAAATTGGTTCATAGTGGGAATACAGTAATTCTGGATAGGCATAAGTTTTGTGTTTTAAAATGAAACGCAGTTTTTGAATTGCAATGAACAAGAGAATGTAATTAGTCCCAATTGCCAAATCAGAATTTCTGCCAGGAATTTCAAGAAAGGAAAAAAAGAATGGGATCGTGTTCAACATCGATGCCAGGGAAAGAATGCTTCCAGAGGCTCGAGGACTCTCCATGGGAAATCAGTTCCCTCCAGTTCCTTAAATC